CTTGGGTGTGTTTAGCTGCTACAACAGTAAATCCGGGTACTACCCAATGGGTGTTTACTATACTGTTCATGTGCATCTTTGATAGATGTGTAGGTCCATGGGTCAACTGGGCGATCATGGGGTACAACACACGTGGCACACACAGTCTTTTACCTTTCCTCCACATTCTATCATCATCAGGTTCTGCATCTAATTTCCTCCAGATGTCATGTTCTTCCTTGCTTGCCTGTCTTTGTAAGATCAGCAGTATATTGTAGTCAACAGCGTCATCTGTAAGGACAACCTGCAGGATGGTATTACCGGTAGAGGGATGTACTTGGATTGCTGCTTGCTTGGCAGCTTCATCTGCTTTGTGGTTTCCTTTTGTAATTTCATCTGTGATCTTCACGTGAGCTGCCACCTTGACAATGCCTACTTGAGTGGGTAGCAGGATAGCGTCCATAAGTAGTAGAAATTGACTAGGCCAAAGGTAGTGGTTATTCCAGACTTGAATATACCACCCTCCTAGTGGTCAGTCACACCTTTAAATGACACTCCAGTGGTGTCAAGGGGCATAACCCCAAAATGGAAGTACTAGAAAATGACTTTCCTGTTACTGGTCACTGAAACCAGAACCAGGACTGTCAGCTGGACAAAATATTAGTAGATAATAGATAATTAAATCAAAATTGCCATCAATATGTCGGAATATAGAGAGGGTTCATACGTAGATTCAAGTGATTAAAATAGCCTAAATGGCTCTTCTCCTGTCTAAAGGACTCTTAGACGTAAAGAATCTATTTGAGACTCAGGACTTTAATATAATCAACCATAGTATGTCCATGTCAACAGTAAAAGCGGTTGTGGAATGAGCCTTTAAATTAACTCCTGTAATCTAGATGGAAAAGACAATCAGTCAAGGAGGAACTTTGAATATTGGCTGTATATAAAGTAACACTTGTAGCAAAGCCCGCTGTATCAAAAAAGCTACAATAAGAGTGTAGTTAAGCAATCAGCAATTTAGGATAACAGCATTTAGCTGGATACCAAGTAACATATAATAAAAGGAAAAAAGTCTACATGAAAATTCGTAGATTAATCACAAAATATGTCATAAATGATAAATCTTAAGTTAGTGGTTTCCTAAATCGCTATGGGGTACAAAGAGTATCTGTTGCCCCCTCAAATACATACAGAGCCAGTCCAGATTCCTCAATCAAATAGATAATTCCAATCTAGATAGCATATCAGGAGTGACAGGAGGAAAAGGTGAAAAATTAGGAAATAATAGTGCTAATGTGTAGAACCATGCTTAGAGTGCTGGTTACCTACACATCGTGAAATAGTGCCCTAGAAGTGAAAATAAAAAGTGAGTGAAAGTGAAGGAGAAAAACCTCCTTCAACCCGACGCGCGTTTCGGTGCTGTGATGCACCTTCGTCAGGGGCCCCTGACGAAGGTGCATCACAGCACCGAAACGCGCGTCGGGTTGAAGGAGGTTTTTCTCCTTCACTTTCACTCACTTTTTATTTTCACTTCTAGGGCACTATTTCACGATGTGTAGGTAACCAGCACTCTAAGCATGGTTCTACACATTAGCACTATTATTTCCTAATTTTTCACCTTTTCCTCCTGTCACTCCTGATATGCTATCTAGATTGGAATTATCTATTTGATTGAGGAATCTGGACTGGCTCTGTATGTATTTGAGGGGGCAACAGATACTCTTTGTACCCCATAGCGATTTAGGAAACCACTAACTTAAGATTTATCATTTATGACATATTTTGTGATTAATCTACGAATTTTCATGTAGACTTTTTTCCTTTTATTATATGTTACTTGGTATCCAGCTAAATGCTGTTATCCTTAATTGCTGATTGCTTAACTACACTCTTATTGTAGCTTTTTTGATACAGCGGGCTTTGCTACAAGTGTTACTTTATATACAGCCAATATTCAAAGTTCCTCCTTGACTGATTGTCTTTTCCATCTAGATTACAGGAGTTAATTTAAAGGCTCATTCCACAACCGCTTTTACTGTTGACATGGACATACTATGGTTGATTATATTAAAGTCCTGAGTCTCAAATAGATTCTTTACGTCTAAGAGTCCTTTAGACAGGAGAAGAGCCATTTAGGCTATTTTAATCACTTGAATCTACGTATGAACCCTCTCTATATTCCGACATATTGATGGCAATTTTGATTTAATTATCTATTATTTACTAATATTTTGTCCAGCTGACAGTCCTGGTTCTGGTTTCAGTGACCAGTAACAGGAAAGTCATTTTCTAGTACATATATACATAGGATCATAAAAGGGCCGTGTCCAGAAACTCAAAAAGAGAGGGCATCCCAAGTGTTGTGCAGACGATGATGTATGCTCCTGTTAGATGGAGAAGATACTGGACTCGTATAAAGCTCCTGGGAAAACTGTTTTCTGAAGGGAAAGTGGGTGGAGACAAGGTCTACGGGTAAAACTTAATGTGATGGCGTCAACGCATTTCATTCTCGCAGGAACTTTCTCAAGACGATATGTGTTAACATATTGCACAGTTGATTATACCAAGAACAATCAACAAAGCAAACCATCAATCTCACATTAAAAAAATCATCAGCCTCACACTTAGAGGTGCAAGTTATTTGTGAAAATCAATTAAATAATAAGTTAAAATGATACAGAAACTATAAATCACAGATAAGAATATATAAACAAAGGAAACAGCGCTAAAATTAACCAATACTATAAATTGGGAAAGTGTGAGGCTGCAAACCTAAAGATAGGGTTCCCTCCAAACCATATAACCAAGGATAGCACAAAATACAAAATAAATGAAGGTTGCGCCAAAGCTCAATGTAGTGCAGCTACTTATAAACAAAGTCCAGAATATAGTAACAAATCTTTGAGAAGAAAAAACCTTTACACAAAGTCTTAAGAAAGCCTGATGGGATGCCAACGGCCTATGTAGAGGAATATTCTCTATGAGGATCGTATGGAGGTAGTTTCACAGGACGGGTATGAAAAGAGAGGAGAAGATAATAGTGCAGTATGTCTGGTAAAAAAAAAGTGGATAGCAGGAAGAAAAGGGTCTATGGTAATCCTACTCACGTGTAGTAGAGCTAAACTAGCTCCAGTGTGGATGGCATACAGCGGTACAATCCCCGCTTATAGGATACGTAGGGAGTTGTTGGTCTTTTGTTTCGTATGTGGAAGAAAAAAGACAGATGATAGTGCAATACGTCTAATATAGATGGATCAGTAGTATAACAGCAGGGTCTAAAGTAGTTCTACTCACGCGCAGTAGTAGTAGAACTTGCAGTAGCCAAAATACCTTTATTAGACATGCAGAATAAAATATTAAAATATCCACAACGCGTATCACCTATGATGGCTTTTTCAAGTGGAGATAAAAAGCATGCTTGGTAGGGTAGGGTTTATATAGGGGAACTTAATTTAAACAGTAAGGAAATTTGGCGCCTAAATGACATCATCAGAAAAATGTACATTTACAAATTGCAAATAAAGTTATGTCTACATATAGAGTGACATACAGGGCATCTTCCCCTAAATTGTGGTGTAAAAACGAGCATTGTAAATAGTTTAAAAACATTATTAAAGGGGGTCACGTAATCGGCATCCATTTTGGAAATCAGGCCGACCATGTGACATGCTGCTAGGGGTATTGGGAAGTGTAGTATGTAGCATATAAATGCTGAATCCGAAGTGACAATCCTTTAATCCTATAATGCTACCTCAGTATCAAAAGTAGAAACAAAAACTAACATTTGCCCCTGAGTACGACATGGTTTCTTGCTGAAACACGCGTTGGGCTTTTCATTATTATCTCCCTTTTGGAGCACTTCAGCACTATGGACTGACACACGATGGTTACTTTTTTATTTTTGTATCTATTTTTGGTACTGAGTTAGCATTATAGGATTACAGGATTGCCATTTGTATAGAACACCCTCGAAGGTGTTTCCAGGAGTTATAGGGTTTATCAATAGGGATGCCCCATTTGTGTCTCTTCAGTATTTAGAGAGGATCTTACTTTTTTACTTTTCTGACAGAGACTACTTATATTATTGATTTTGTCAATATAGTAGTTACTTATTTACTGATATCCTTGTCATACCCTTTTCTCCTTTTACAACTCTGTAGCTGTCCCTGTTCCCTGTGTTTAGGGATTGTTTGCTGCCTTTTCTATCTACTATTGGACTTTTGTCTTTCTATACTAGGCTATTTTTAGCCAGGGTTGGGTTTTACTTCCATTAGCTGGTAACAGCAATTAGGTCAGGCTGTCATTCATTATTGCTTATTTATCCTATTTTGCTAATACCATATACTTTTCTGACCTGATATAATACGTATTATCTACCGGATGTAGTCGAGTATAAGTCAAGTTTATCAGCACATTTATTGTGCTGAAAAAGCCCCACTTGAATTATACTCGAGTCAAGGTCTGTATTATGGCCACTTATAATGCCATAATACAGAGCAGGACCACTGGGCCTTTTGGGGGCTGGCAGCAAGCTGTTACATACCTTTGTAGCAGCTCCGGTCAGCGCCCTTCACCTCCGTGCAGCTCCCCTGTCAGCTCCCAGTATAAATCTACCGTGGCAATGCTCTGCACGGCACGCAGACCGTGAGATTTACACTGGGAGCTGACAGGGGAGTTGCACGGAGGTGAAGGGCGCTGACCGGAGCTGCTACAAAGGTATGTAACAGATTGCTGCAGGCTCCCCTCCTGCACAGCCCATCCGCTGGACCACCAGGGATTCACATAGCCCCCCTCCCTGACCAGGTAACAAGCAGGGAGGGGGGACAAAAATAAATATTAAATAATAAAATAATAAAAAAATAATAATAATATTAAAATAAAAAAATTAAAATATTTTTAAAAAAAAATTCAATAATAAAAATGCCCTTCCCCCACCCAGTTCACACACACTACACAAACTCTTCATTCACACAAACACACACACTGCATTATATACACACAGAGTGTGTGTGTATATAATGCAGAGTGTGTGTTTGTATGAGTGTGTGTGTATATAATGCAGAGTGTGTGCATTATATATACACACACACACTCATACAAACACACACTCTGCATTATATACACACACACCCATACAAACACACTCTGCATTATATACACACACTCATACAAACACACACTCTGCATTACATACAGGATTATGTTCCAGGATCTTACCTAGGTAATATCTGACAAAATTATAAAAATCACAGAATTTCATAGTGTGAGTAGACCAATCTCGCCACTGTGCTTTGGAGGAGCCTGGTTGCCCGCCTGCTGCCTTTAGACTATGGCCCCATGTTGAAATGCTTGATTTTCTCCTGCAAAGACACGAAAGCCGGGTCATTCGGTACTATCCCTATGTGAACAGTGGTACACCAGATAGCTATGCCATGGAGCCCATTCGTATAATGAAAGACTATGGAAAAGACTTTGGCTCCATGGCAATTGAACTGTATGTGTGTGATCTGAGCGCCATTCAGTAATAATGTGCGCTCAGATCTGAGCTATCTGGGGATATATTAAATGTACCTGTTTTATGCAATAGCTGCACAGTTATATATTTTTATGTATTTTATTGTCTTTTGCTGCCATGTGTTCAATGGAGTTTTGCCTCTGTCCTTGGAGATAATTGGATTACTTCCCAATTATCTCCAGGATTGAAGACTCTGTGGAACTGGTTTTGGCCAGAAAAGCCATGCTTCATTTGGTCACAAAGGACTACGATCTATCTTTTGAACCACTGGACCAATTTGTATGATTTTGACGTATGTTTGTATTTGGAGTATGCTGATTCTGATTTATGTGAATGTGATGCATACTTTTAAAATTATGAATAATGTGGAAAAACTGTATTTCTCTGCCTGTGATAATTACATTACCTATTGTGTAAGGTAATTGTTTTACAGGGAGAGGGGAGGATTTTGTGTGGGAGTGTCTGAGTGTATTGTACGTGTTTATTGGTTGGTTTCCAAAACCCTGTGGGTGGTACTAATGTGTAAGAATGTGTATATAAGAACAATAAACCCACAGCTCTGTCTGTTCCTGCTTAACCCTCAAAACGGAACCTTGTCCCGTTCTTGGGGGGATTTATTGTATGCTGTTCCAGTTTGACTGCTAGGAGTGTAAACCTATTCGTATAGTTTTTCCTATTCAGCTGTCTACAGCATTCGTATGTTTGAGAGCATTCATATGCTTCTCCGGTTCGGTGTATTGGTGTCTACAGTAGCTGTACCTGTGTCTCTGGAAGGGAAGATCTACTAAACGGCTTTTAACCCCTTTTTATGCCTGGGGGTGCCGTTACACATAGCCCCAAGTTTTACCCTTGACTTATCCACGAGGCATAGCATATTTCACAATTGTTGGTCACAAAACTGCACTCGACTTATACGCGAGATCGACTTATACACAAGTATATACAGTAGGCATCTAGCACCTCTCCTAACTGATGCCTTTGGTCTAGCAGGTTATACTTTATGGTTTACCTCAAAATTTCCAGTATTATTAATAATGTTTTTGTTATTTTCTTTTAAGACCTTTTTCTAGATTGGACTGGGATTTTAATCTAGGGGTCACTCTCTATGAGAGTGGTCTATTAGGTTTTTCCTCTATATTTATATATCACTTTGGGTTATCCCCGTTTTCCCAGTCTAGGTGACCACATTGGTTAAGGCACAGGGTGTGGGAGCTCTGTTAAGCCCCTATACTAGACCTTTACCTCTCCTTCTCATTATTACTTGTGAGCAGTGATCCAAAACATTTTGGAAAATAATTACTGAAAGCATTATTTGCAAAAACAGTGGTTGAAATTGTAGATGGTAAAAAATTGAGCACTGAGACTGCAGGAGCATGATCATAACACCAAAGATGGTTTTTGAAGCTAAAGTTGTTTTGGTGCATTTAGTGTCAGGAATATTTGGTTGTTGGATTCTGGGGAAAGTATGGCTAAGTTTCTGTAGAATGGCACTTGTGCTGTTCTGTGCAGTGCTGTATTATGGAGTGTTTTTTTGATTTATTATGTTTTTTTCAGTGTTTTCATGGAACTTTTTGTTGCATAATAACATTGAATAACATTTAACATTTATAAATTAACCTTTGTTTGATTCTTAGACTATGAAGATGATACACAAATAATTAACATTATAGAGTGCACCCCTGGACAATATTTTAACCAACCTGGAGATGAAAAGGATGAGAAGAAAGCCAGCCAATTCAGACGCTCACAGTTAAAGAACTGCTCTGGGATTGAGGACCCTTCCTATGGTTTTGCAGAAGGGAAGCCTTGCTTCATACTAAAGATGAATCGGGTAATGTTAAACAATGATGCTGATTTAAAGTTTTTAAAGAATCTTTTTTTTTTAACTTAACAATTAATAGCAGTTTACTCACAACCAAATATAACGCATTGAAACCAATTTTATCTGTATTAATAGTAGAGAAATAACTAGTTTAATAGGGTAGGCACATGGACATGGAAACATGAACACAAAAATAAAAAATACGTTTTGGTCAAAGGCCTTCATTTTTATTTTTGTGTTCCAGTTTCCAATAATCCTTCATTGATGTGCCTACTCTGTAGAACCTGTAGATTCTCTACCATTGCTGTGTGTACAATTCCTGACCTTAATGTATTGTTAATGGGATATTAAAATCCAAATTTACTTACTCCCCATGACCCAGTGGTTTGGCTGAATCATTGGGGAAGTACAGTACGGCTTGGGATTTGATGGAATGTGGGAGTCCTATAAAACAAAGTTTATTTCTTAAACTTCTATTTTCAAGATCCTCCACCTTCATTTGTTGTTGTGTAATGAGTTCACATTGACATTGAAGTTGAGCATGTAGTGTAGCAAGGAGTGTTTCGAGGTTATCAAGTCTGAAGGAGTTAGCAGCTACTTTACTGACAAGATCAACAAGGGTGTGTTGTATAATGTTAACTTTCGCCTCTAATTTAGGTGGTGATTTCGTCAGCCAGAGATGCAGGTTTGTTATTAGGGAGGTCTGGGGTGAATAAAGCGTCAGATTTGGCAGAACTTTGCGTTGCTGAAGAAATTTCCTCTGAGCATGTCTGGGGTTTTTGATAGAGATTTGAAAAGTTTTGCATGTGTTTTGGCCTTGTTTTTCTACGATTGGACAAACTTCTCCATTCTTAAGAAAATAGTAAAGTGTAGAGATTGGAAATTCCTTTAGAGTCCTGAGTATCAGATGCAGACCCAGCAGCTTCTAAATCGTAGTACTACTAATTTCTAGAATAGAAGACATTTTATCACAGAAATCAGCACTCACTTACTTGCCCGGGGCACCCATGGCGTCAGTAGTCAGCATTTCTGGGTTCCTTTGTGTAATGGATCGCCTGGCACCCCGACTGGGTACCTCCGTTGATGGATGCTCCTAGTTCTTCCCGAGGGCTCCAAGCACTCCACTTGACACCATAAGCACCGCAGACCCCACGAACCGCCGCAGCTTGGTTGGGGTCTCGTCGTCTCCTGCCCACCTTGGACCTACGACAAGGCTCCAGGTTCCAGTGGGTGAACCTCTCTTTCCCCAGAGAGTGAAGCAGGAAAACGAACAAGCTCTTACAAGAGCTTAGTGATTATTCAAGGGAGTATGAAGAGCATAAAAACCCCTTGTAGCAGATTCCCCCCAATAAGAGACAGGACCCTAGATTGAGGGTGAAGTAGAACTGAAGGTTTAATGGTACAGCTGCTTCTTTTATACAGTATTTCCCCACAAGGTTACCGCCCAGGTGGACCTTGTAGGGCACAGGACATGAAATTCACAATCCAATAAAAACAGGGTATACTTGAACACTCCCAGTTACTGTACACAAACCCTCCCCTCTGCCTATGATACAATTAACAAAGACAATGGATTAACTCCATTACCCACAGGCAGAAAACACACATTTCTACCCAAAGTACAGAAACACCCCAAAACTCCAACATATCCCCATAAATGGCACATCCCTGGATAGCTCTGATCTGGGTGAACAACATATCCAAAAATCACCCAGATCAGAGCAGGGGAAGTCTCTTTTGACCGACTGCACGCACATTTTCATGCCCAAAACTGTTCCAGAGAATTAGGCTGTGTGGCCGAACTATTTTCCAATACTAAGTTCAGTTCAAATGCACGAACGGGGCTGTTCATGGAAATAGCCAATGTTAAAGTGGCGTTCGAATTGTCGAACGCTGTTCGACTCCCGAAGTTCCGGAGAAGATAAACTTCAGCGGTGTTCGTGCCATCGAGTGTCCGAATTGAGTTCCATGAACTCGACGACAAAACACAGCGTAACACGTTCGACTAAACAAGATGGCCGCTGCCACGTGTTCTACTATACGAATGGTGACCACCCAGCCATTCGTCAATTTGGCTGCGGTTAACTCCCAACCTGGGATGTAAATTGGCTGCACACTCCACTTGTGTGTGGTCCGGCTTTTCGGTAATTCGAAGTTCCACTTCGACCACTTCGAAAGTTTAAAGAACAATTGTTTAAAATAACAAACAGGCATAAATAGTATCTTTAACCACAATAACGTAAAGTCACAGGGTAAAAGGCTGGCAAGTACTCCCCTCCAAAAACCCGTGGCAAATTCAGCTAAAGGGGGGAGTTTGCCACACTCTGCTCTGTCCCAGCCTCCTGTAACCTCTGCTGTCTTGTTTGCCAATGGGGGAGCTATGGCGGCTGCTCTGTCTCCCTACGATTGTGGCTGCCATGCGGGAATCTGGGTGGGTGGAGACTGGGGCAGAGTTAGGACAATGCAAAATGGCGCTGAGTTCCAGGAGTAGATTTATAGATCTCTGTAACTCTGCCTGAAGGGGGGGAGAGGCTGGCCATGTAACTTATCTTCACTTTATATTCTGCTCACTTCCTCCAGTGAGTCCAAGAAGTGAGATGCACAACTAAGATAAGGAAATAAAGTAGATACAGTTCTTGGTTTAGCCTGGTCTGCAAAAGTGTTGGTTTTAAACTGAGTACGTGATTGGGTATGAGAATGTACCAGATCTCTAAATACAAGAATACCAAAGAAAGTTAACAGGGTTCTTTCTTACAAATCCTGATTCTTTTCTTGTTTTGCAAGTTAGTGTAAGTAGACTCATTTAATGGAAATTCTTCCTTTTGTACACTTTTTCTTTTTTGGACCATTTCCTCATGTTACCATGTTGGTAATCATCTTGATAGCTTTTAAATTTTATTTTTTTAGTGAGGATAACTGATTTCTCCAGTCTATCCAAATTGTATTTAATTTGTGTGGATAGGCTTTTGAAATCTTCTGTTTCCATAAATGGTTCTAGTTTTTTTATTTTTTATTTCTTTTACAGATTTATCAAGTTTGCTCAATGTCTCAGTTCTGTTCAATGATGATATGTATATGTTATATTAAAAATGTTTCTAGGGCATTGTTCCGAAATTAGGGATCGACCAATTATTGGTTTAGCCGATATTCTGAATTTTAATCAATATCGGTATCGGCTTACAAAGATACCGATATTGCCAATAATGCAGACCAGGGCTGCCTTCAGGGCATGACAACCAAGACGGTTGTCATGGGCCCGGCGGATCGCAGCACACTCTTACTTACCATCCCAGCAGCTCCCTTCAGCTCCCCTGTCGAAATTTTGCGAGTTCCACGGCCGTCAGAGCGTTGCCACGGGTTACCACGGCAACGCTCCGCACAGCACGCAGGCTGCGAGAGTTAGACAGGGGAGCTGCTGGGAAGGGAAGTAAGAGTGTTACAAACTGGCTCTATTTAATAGTAGTCTGTTGGCAGTATGTCAATAAACCATTTATTTGTGTAAGTGATCAGTATACCCATCTGTAAGTGTTTTCTGAATTTTCCTCAATATTACAATGTAGGTTATGAGGTGAGACACAGACAGAAGGTGGTTAAAATTAAGTATAGCAAGTTTATTAAAAATAAATGAAATCTTACATATAGGCTTAAAATAATCCGCATAAGCACACAAACAATATATTTTGATCAAGGTGCATAACAAAGAATGAAAGAAAGAAACAAACAAACCCCCTTAAATACCCTCCTAAAGTTTCTTTGAGAAGTCCACGTTCATTGGGTTTTGGCAAATGTCCAATTAGCATTTGGTTTAGCAAATGTCCAATCGCATTGTTTGATTTGGTGAATCTCCAATACAGTCCTTCAGTTCCGTAGAATAACCAATTAGGTGACTTTCCAGCAATGGCCATCTTAGGTGAACTCCTATTAGGTAATGGAGGCCATATTATTATTAGAATCAAATAAAGAAAGATACATTTAAACAACAATTTTAAATTTAAAAAAATGCAACAGTTTTGTCAAAAAGGGTATAATAAAAAAAGACGTAGAATCACAATACACAATGGTAGACAAAATGGAAAGGAAACATATTTTAAAGTATAGAATAAGGTAAATTAAAACAGGAGAGTGAACAAATGCCCTTTATATGCAATTGCAATTCTTAGAATAATGTTCTTTAAAGAATTAGAATTAAACAAATCTAAACATTTTAATAAATTTCACAGTAGCGACTCAGGACTATTGATATTTGTAGAGATAGAACGGGGGGGGGGGAGGTGGGGGGTGGACGGCGACTCAAAACATCTAAGCAAAAAGGAGATTAAATGGATGTTCGATTTGAATATCTTATCTCCAATGGGTCTTAATATAGAGTTTGATGTTAACCCCTTAACGCCGTTGCGGCGGCATAGAACGCCGTAATGGCTTGCAGCCCCAGGAGGTCCGGTGGACTTACCTCCGCCGCGATCCTCTTCTGGAGGGCTGTCCTAACAGCCCAGGCAGCCCTCCCCTGGCAAATGAGGCCCCTGGGGGGCCATGCTGGATCTGCCAGAAGGGGGACTGTCTAAAATGTCAGACAGTCCCCCTGCTGGTGGGAAAGTAAAAAAAAAAAAAAAAAGAATTAAACATGTGTAAAATTAAAATAGAAATTTTAACGTCATACAAAGTGTATTTTAATATTAATATAAGTACATATATTAGCATTAAAATACACTTAGAACGACGTTACATATATATAATATGTATATATTATATATATATATATATATATAATAGATATATACACATATATTTTATATATAAATACGTATAATTACAATAATTAATAAATAAAAAAATAAAATATTGAAACAAAATTTAATATAAATTATATATTGATATGTAATTTCATTCTAACTGTATTTTGTTATTAATATATATATATATTGGTAACAAAATACACTTAGAATGACATTCTATATATCTAATACAAATAACCGCAAATATATATATATATATATATATATATATATAATTACATAAAAGATTACATTAGTACACACGTAGAAGTTAAATACCTATAAATGCATATATATTAAAATTCTATGTGTATATTTAAGTAATCTTTTAACATAATTATGTGATTTGATTAATTAAAATTTGATTGACATGCCTGACAACACAGGGAGAAAGTGCAGAGAATTTAATTTCAGTTTTCTGACCAGTGGAATACTTTAGTTTAACTTCAACCATATGATGGAATACAATACCCATGGGTCCCATCCACGTGCACCAGTAAGGGTACCTAACTGCCTCTAGGGTGAAACCTACTGGGGGCTGCAGTGTTGTTGGGCGGGTGAGGTTCATGTGGGTCATTGCCTTCCAATTATGGTTACTGCATTATATTTATTTCTCTGTTATTTAATTGTATAGATCATATGAATAGCTGTTGTCAAGGTCCATTGCAAAACATTTCAGAAGATTTGATGATCTACCGAAACTTCCATATAAAAATGGAGGTAAATTAGAACAAAAGTATCTTATTCCAACCACTTACCACTGTCGGTATGGACGCAGGACAAAGATGCATAAAGGTAGCTGCCAGAAAGGAATGGGGAGCTAGGCAAGTTTCAAAAATTCAGTATTATCTTAACGTATCTAGTGTGCCCTTCTGTGGGATTCTTTTGACTGATGGATTATGGGTAAATGAACTTCGCAACTGAAATGGAACCGTACTTAAAAGATAACGGTCATTACAAGTTTTAAACATATTATTATAAGCTTTATATTATAATATGCCATCTCTGAATATTTTTTTTTAATTCATGTATATTGATTTTTTAAAGAAATTGCTTGCCTACTTTTCCAACTCCCCCTTTCTTGCAGCCAACTTTTATGCCTTTTGGATCAGACTGTCTGCCAGTCCGTACTCACTAATTTCCCTAATGCCTTGAAAGCACTTCATCTAATGATGGACTCCTACTGTGTTTGCAGAGAACATGCATAAAATTGGTTAATCCCACACTGGGATAGTGGTGCAGAAAAACAAAATCTTAACCGTCTGTCAATGTAAACTCTGAATGCTACATGAAGAGGCTCGGTGAAAGTGGCAGAGAAGGTGTGCAAGTGTTTGAATCGCACAGGGGATACAAGGAGATACGTCCAGCCTCATAATCCTAGTATATACCTAACCTGTCTGTTTGAGAATCAAAATGTAATTGGTTTTCTTTAGCATTGCGAATAACTGAGGGATCTTTATCAAACATGTTTAAACACCAGGACTTAATATCATCTTCAATCCTGTTGGTCGCTTTCCCTATCTAGAAATCTATGCCATAAGGTTTGAGCATCACCATATTGCTCAGGGGCATGCGAATAGGACCTCTTTTTATTCCATAATACATGGTTTCAACAGAGAGCTCTATGTCTATGTTTTGCCTTGCATGACAACACTAAGAAAATCCAGCTAAACATTATCCAGAAGTGGAGATTATACCACTGGATGCTGTTTTGTTTGTACCACATAAAAGGCTCTATGTCATGTGAGTGCATTACCACTCATTACTATATATCGCTAGAACTTTCCGACATACTATATACTGCTTCTGTGTTTTTGTTTATTTTGTTAATACTCTGCTGAAGACCCTGACCTGCTAAGGAAAACAGCTATATATACCTAGATGGGGATTATTCAATCAAAGCTTTCATCTAAGAACTGGTTTAAAAGCTCCTAAAATTGTTGGTGATTTTCCATATTCACTCCACCCAAATTTCTAGTTATACTCCACAATTAAATTTCTTTCTGCTCTCTTACATACTCACCTACTTGAGGAGCAACCACCAACCCATTGTGAGAAATTATCAGTACAGCCAAGAAGAGGAAGCCTTGGCAGCTTGTTGTTGCTGCTGTTGCTTACCGGGACACATATTGCGCTTAATTCTTACCATGTTCATTACATTTTGTAAAGGATGTCCAGGCCTCTTCTCAAACCTCACCATCTTCATCTTGGGAGTAACTTTCTGCCTTCTTCCGATCTTTCTCTATGTAGAAAGATGTTGCGAGGAAAAATCCCCCTCCGATGACTCCCACAAAGGCACAAATAATCAGAGCGGAGCCTAAGCTATTAAACCGCAAGAGGTCTGAATCTGGTTTTCCTTTGCGTATTAGATCTGAAATCTGAGGAGAAGAAAGATGAAAGAGAAGCAGTTACAGCTGGTGATTAAATCGAGGCCAAAATGCAGGTAAAACAGTAAACTAAATAAATAAACCTATCCACATTCTTTGATCACGTGTATTTGTAAGAATACAGCACAGTTATTTTCATTAGACAAATTGCCAAATTGTGAGTGTTGCCATCTGTCACTTCCGCAACAGCATGCACAAGCCCATAACCACTATATATTTGGAAACAGGAACATGGCAAGTGAGGGATATTGCACTTTTTTTTTTTATAAGAGAAACATGAAAGGCAGTTGAGCATAAACATAAACATTAACATGAGCAGTGACATTGGTTAACAGAAGTGGTATAGTACTTTGGGAAAGACACTGCTGTTGTTTAGGAAAATAATAAGTTATCATATAATCAATTCCATGAGGGTAGTCAGACAGTGGGTCCTACACTCTGTATCCCAGGACTATGTCTATTGACTGATAAGTTATATAACTGGGTAAGTAGAGTGACGTGTGACTAAGGTTCCAGTGGGCACACGACGTGATACAACAACAATAATTTATTACCCGGTAGGGCATTCTAGTGGTTTCCCCTCGGGGACTAAGAGTAACAGGTAGAAGGTTATCACCTGGTAATCTTGTACTGGTTAAGGGAGTCGCTTCCTACCAAATGATTAAAGAGAGATTTGCAGAGTGGTTCCCCAAGGAAGTCAGTGGGGGGTGGAAGGACGATTTAAAGTGAGTGGAGTTGCCCAATAGGGAAATAAGGCTTTACTGTGCTACCACTAAGGAGACGTAAAGGAAGGGCTGTGTGCACAGGAGGCCAAAGGCACAAACCAAATCGTCCGTACATGTTTTTTTTTTTTTTTTCGGCAATGCTTGCTGATCTCCACACCAGCTATAACCCCCACAATACCAGTCACACAAGTGATCACTCCGAAAATCAAACTAGAAAAAAATAAAAGACGTAATGAGTTAAAAAATTAAGAGTATAATAAACCAGTGGAAAAAGTGAAAAAGACAGAAGAAATATAAAGGGAGGGTGAAGGGGGGGTGGGGGGGGTGTTTGGGGGGAGTGAAACTAGCCTGTCTGTTTGAGAATCAAAATGAAATTGGTTTTCTTTAGCATTGTGAATCACTGAGAGATCTTTATCAAACATGTTCAAACACCAGGACTTAATGTCATCTTCAATCCTGTTGGTCGCTTTCCCTATTAGGACTGGGATAAGCAAAGCCAGTTCTGATTTATATACATCTACGCCATAAGGTTTGAGCAAAACCATATTGCTCAGGGGCATGCGAGTAGGAACTCTTTTTTGTTTTTCTATAATAACTGTTTCAACAGAGATCTCTATGCCTATGTTTTGCCTTGCATTACAACACTGAGAATATCCAGCTAAACATTATCCAGAAGTGGAGATTATACCACTGGATGCTGTTTTGTTTGTACCACATAAAAGGCTCTATGTCATGTGAGTGCATTACCACTCATTACTATATATCGCTAGAACTTTCCGACATACTATATACTGCTTCTGTGTTTTTGTTTATTTTGTTAATACTCTGCTGAAGACCCTGACCTGCTAAGGAAAACAGCTATATATACCTAGATGGGGATTATTCAATCAAAGCTTTCATCTAAGAACTGGTTTAAAAGCTCCTAAAATTGTTGGTGATTTTCCATATTCACTCCACCCAAATTTCTAGTTATACTCCACAATTAAATTTCTTTCTGCTCTCTTACATACTCACCTACTTGAGGAGCAACCACCAACCCATTGTGAGAAATTATCAGTACAGCCAAGAAGAGGAAGCCTTGGCAGCTTGTTGTTGCTGCTGTTGCTTACCGGGACACATATAGCGCTTAATTCTTACCGTGTTCTTTACATTTTGTAAAGGATGTCCAGGCCTCTTCTCAAACCTCACCATCTTCATCTTGGGAGTAACTTTCTGCCTTCTTCCGATCTTTCTCTATGTAGAAAGATGTTGCGAGGAAAAATCCCCCTCCGATGACTCCCACAAAGGCACAAATAATCAGAGCGGAGCCTAAGCTATTAAACCGCAAGAGGTCTGAATCTGGTTTTCCTTTGCGTATTAGATCTGAAATCTGAGGAGAAGAAAGATGAAAGAGAAGCAGTTACAGCTGGTGATTAAATCGAGGCCAAAATGCAGGTAAAACAGTAAACTAAATAAATAAACCTATCCACGTTCTTTGATCACGTGTATTTGTAAGAATACAGCACAGTTATTTTCATTAGCCAAATTGCCAAATTGTGAGTGTTGCCATCTGTCACTTCCGCAACAGCATGCACAAGCCCATAACCACTATATATTTGGAAACAGGAACATGGCAAGTGAGGGATATTGCACTTTTTTTTTTTATAAGAGAAACATGAAAGGCAGTTGAGCATAAACATAAACATTAACATGAGCAGTGACATTGGTTAACAGAAGTGGTATAGTACTTTGGGAAAGACACTGCTGTTGTTTAGGAAAATAATAAGTTATCATATAATCAATTCCATGAGGGTAGTCAGACAGTGGGTCCTACACTCTGTATCCCAGGACTATGTCTATTGACTGATAAGTTATATCACTGGGTAAGTAGAGTGACGTGTGACTAAGGTTCCAGTGGGCACACGACGTGATACAACAACAATAATTTATTACCCGGTAGGGCATTCTAGTGGTTTCCCCTCGGGGACTAAGAGTAACAGGTAGAAGGTTATCACCTGGTAATCTTGTACTGGTTAAGGGAGTCGCTTCCTACCAAATGATTAAAGAGAGATTTGCAGAGTGGTTCCCCAAGGAAGTCAGTGGGGGGTGGAAGGACGATTTAAAGTGAGTGGAGTTGCCCAATAGGGAAATAAGGCTTTACTGTGCTACCACTAAGGAGACGTAAAGGAAGGGCTGTGTGCACAGGAGGCCAAAGGCACAAACCAAATCGTCCGTACATGTTTTTTTTTTTTTTTCGGCAATGCTTGCTGATCTCCACACCAGCTATAACCCCCACAATACCAGTCACACAAGTGATCACTCCGAAAATCAAACTAGAAAAAAATAAAAGACGTAATGAGTTAAAAAATTAAGAGTATAATAAACCAGTGGAAAAAGTGAAAAAGACAGAAGAAATATAAAGGGAGGGTGAAGGGGGGGTGAGGGGGGTGGTGTTTGGGGGGAGTGAAACTAGCCTGTCTGTTTGAGAATCAAAATGAAATTGGTTTTCTTTAGCATTGTGAATCACTGAGAGATCTTTATCAACCATGTTCAAACACCAGGACTTAATGTCATCTTCAATCCTGTTGGTCGCTTTCCCTATTAGGACTGGGATAAGCAAAGCCAGTTCTGATTTATATACATCTACGCCATAAGGTTTGAGCAAAACCATATTGCTCAGGGGCATGCGAGTAGGAACTCTTTTTTGTTTTTCTATAATAACTGTTTCAACAGAGATCTCTATGCCTATGTTTTGCCTTGCATTACAACACTGAGAATATCCAGCTAAACATTATCCAGAAGTGGAGATTATACCACTGGATGCTGTTTTGTTTGTACCACATAAAAGGCTCTATGTCATGTGAGTGCATTACCACTCATTACTATATATCGCTAGAACTTACCGACATACTATATACTGCTTCTGTGTTTTTGTTTATTTTGTTAATACTCTGCTGAAGACCCTGACGTGCTAAGGAAAACAGCTATATATACCTAGATGGGGATTATTCAATCAAAGCTTTCATCTAAGAACTGGTTTAAAAGCTCCTAAAATTGTTGGTGATTTTCCATATTCACTCCACCCAAATTTCTAGTTATACTCCACAATTAAATTTCTTTCTGCTCTCTTACATACTCACCTACTTGAGGAGCAGCCACCAACCCATTGTGAGAAATTATCAGTACAGCCAAGAAGAGGAAGCCTTGGCAGCTTGTTGTTGCTGCTGTTGCTTACCGGGACACATATAGCGCTTAATTCTTACCGTGTTCTTTACATTTTGTAAAGGATGTCCAGGCCTCTTCTCAAACCTCACCATCTTCATCTTGGGAGTAACTTTCTGCCTTCTTCCGATCTTTCTCTATGTAGAAAGATGTTGCGAGGAAAAATCCCCCTCCGATGACTCCCACAAAGGCACAAATAATCAGAGCGGAGCCTAAGCTATTAAACCGCAAGAGGTCTGAATCTGGTTTTCCTTTGCGTATTAGATCTGAAATCTGAGGAGAAGAAAGATGAAAGAGAAGCAGTTACAGCTGGTGATTAAATCGAGGCCACAATGCAGGTAAAACAGTAAACTAAATAAATAAACCTATCCACATTCTTTGATCACGTGTATTTGTAAGAATACAGCACAGTTATTTTCATTAGACAAATTGCCAAATGGTGAGTGTTGCCATCTGTCACATATAATATGTAAAGATATATATATGTTTTAGTTTCCATACTGGTTGTACCTGTTTAGCATCTTCACTTAATGATGCATATTTCAACAACTGCTGGTAGTCTATAATGGACATCCCACTGGAAGGACCACTTCAACAGAGACACGTACAGGAATTTTCCATAAAGTCTAAATAGCGCAGTACCGGATGGGGAAAAAACAATCGGGCCGCATATGGGGTTATTAGGACTCCAAAATCCAGACATTGTTCACACTATTCAACAATATACAGATTTTGCATTTTGGGGCCCAAATAGACCTGAATTAAATTAAATAATTCCAGGCTCAAAGGCTTCAAATTCGGGCCCCGGTTTGAAAAAATCCAGACTTTTTGCCCACAGGCATTGCTAGCAACCTGTGATGAAATAGTTTAAAACATATTCTATTATTCTAATATTCATGGGGGAGGACCTACTGTCCCCACAGACCCCCGAAGTGGGGAGAGAGAGAGATTTTGGGACGGTGGAATTTTAAATTTCCAAAATAAAATAAAAAAGCGATTAAAGTGATGGAGGGAGGGGAAAGCGATCTTCCCTTTGCAGGCCCTTTGTCTGTGAGGGACAAGATAATATTGTCTGTTGAAAGCATGCATTGTGTGCACTGATGACTGACGTAAAATATATATAGAATTGACATTAGGCAACCTGCAACAGAGTTCAGAGTAACTAGCATCCGAGACACAAATGCAAATATCTCTGAATGTGCAGTGTTTAAAGCACATTTGCACATCCAAGCTCCCACTACCATGATCTATTCAAATCACTGAAGTGGTCATGGGGGTTGGCGTAACCCTTTAATGTTCATGGAGATATAATGATCACTTACCACTCCGATTGCATACGGGCTGCCAGCATCTCCTAATATGTGGGACACAACGATCTGCAATGCTCCTGCCGTTCCACGTCTTGTAGGAATCACCACATACTGCAAGAGGAGAGAGTTAGAAATATTATCACACCAGGAGAAACGAGCAAAACATCACACACTAAGCCGCTGTTCCAAGCCTTCTAATTAGTGAACTAAAACGTTTTTTTTGGGGGGTGGGCAGGATTGCAGGCACTATAACAACTTCAATAAAATTGTTAAAGTGCCTACAATAACCCTGTAAAGGTCTGTGCAGGGCAGGTGTGAGAAAATTGAAAAGCAGCAATATACTGTTTCTTGCATCAAAGTCAGATGATTTTGGAACTGGAACTGTGGTCAGCAGTAACAATTCAAAATTTCTCAAAGGAGACTCCTCTGTTCACAGTATAGCTAATAAAATAGCATGGTCCAAATCCATATGTTTTATTATAAATCTATAAAAATACAAATATAATGGGAATTGCAACTCAGCGTGGCAAACAACCCATTACCTCCTCACACATATTGTGTGGAATATCTACTCTTAATCATAGGATCAAGTCAAATGCATGCCAGGCTTTCTGCAGGGTCCTAGTTCCCTAACCGTGCAGCATGCGCATAGGGTTGCCACCCTTTTTGGAAAAAAATACCGGCCATGCTAATTTGCATTATTAATTATATATGCGTGACATCACAGCACACGATGTGCATAAAAGAACGAGAACATTTGGAAGCAGAAAATTCCCTAAATCACTAATAAAATACTTGCAATGTTTCTACTGTGTCTGACTGTGTGTATAGTATTGTATATGTGAGGCAGTGTGTGTATAGCAGTGTGTCGTTGTGTAAATGTGTATATACAAATACACATGCAGACTGCTAAATAGACACACATAGCAAACTGCTGAATACACATACACAGACTGCTAAATATGCAGAGACTGCTGAATACACTGACTGTTCAATAAACATACAAAGACAGACTGCTGAGTACGTATACATACTGCTAAATGTGCAGACTGCTGAATACACACACATATTGCTAAATAGGCAGACTGCTGAATACACATACACAGACAGACTGCTGAGTACAAACACACAGACTGCTAAATATGTATCAACTGCTGAATACACAGACTGCTGAGTCCACACACACACTGCTGGATACACATACATAAGACAGACTGCTAAATGCACACACACGGAGAACAGAAGAATTTGAATGGTAACTAATTTTGTGACATGGTTTCCAGGTACCTGCGATCTTTGTGTAGGTAAAGGATCTCTGCTAAGACTTTCTGTAGATTGTATTACCTATTCCTCCCATTATCCTTAAGATTTGGTAAATTTCACTATTGGATGCCACAGTGCTTTTTCCCTATGCTGGTAGCAGTTATTCTGCTTATTACTTTTTTGGTGATACTTTTTATTGAGCTTTTACATAGCAGCAGCTACTTGCTTTTATTGAACTTTCTGTTATGGTATCCGATTTGCAAAACTTTCAAATACAGGGAATATTGTTCACTGCTACTTACTTGTGAACACACACACAGACTGCTGAATACACACACACACACACGCTTTCAGGACTCAGGTCCTGGTGCTAATCTTCCATCTGCTTGTCATGTAGCTCTTGCTGCTCCCACTCCTCTCATGCGGACTCTGTTAGTGGAGAGGGCAGGGACATGCAGCGACATCCCATTTCAGCCCTCTCCACACAGCTCTAGCACCAACAAGTGTTCCGAGCACGGCTTTAGAACACTGCACACCCTGGTGGCCGGTGCCGATATTGCAGAACATTCTCTTCAAAGAAAAATACCGGCAATTGTATTGTAGGTTTTTTTGCAATACCGGCACCTGCCACACAGCCATAAATACCGGCTGTGCCCCACATGCGCACATCTACACGTTACACTTTCTGGGGACTGTTGTCTGGTGTCACCAAAGGTCGAACACCAGTGAGCAAAGTCAGAATAGTGGGAAAAGACCTGAAAATTGGGACTGCCACTTTAGAAACATTAGTGCACAACTGTCCAATGATTAAAGAAACACTCTACTGCCAAAATATCTCACTATTAGTAGATATATTCAAATGGAAACATGCATGCATTCAATTATGCATTTGCTCATTGGGGGGGTGTAACGGATCACCTGGCACCCCGACTGGGTACCTCCGTTGATGGATGCTCCTAGTACTTCCCGAGGACTCCAAGCACTCCACTTGACACCATCAGCACTGCAGACCGAACCTCTCTTCCTGCAAAGAGCGAAGCTGGAACAAGCTCTTAAAAGAGCTTAGTGATTATAGCTAGGGGAGTATGTAGAGTATAGCAATCCCCCAGTGTAAATGCAACCGTTTCCCCCAATCATGAGACAAGGCTCTATGTTGAGGGTCAAAACAGGAACTCACCAGTCTGAGGGTTTATTGGCAACTTATATGCAACTTTTCCCACAAGTTTACCACCCACGTGGTCTTGTGGAACAACCAATCAAAACATTACAATACAGTCAAACACTCCCATTCATTCCAGCAAAATCCTCCCCTCTGCCTGTGGTAGAATTACTGTACACGAAGGGCTAATGTAATATCACAGGCAGGAAAATACACAGTTTTACACAATATTCATAACTTTAAAAGTATACATCACATTCTGAACAAGCATATGCAGTATACAAACATATGTCAAAATCATACAAATTGGTCCAGTGGTTCAAAAGTTAGATGGAAGTCCTTTTTGACCAACTGCAAGCATGGCTTTCCTGCCCCAAACCAGTTCCACAGAGTTAGGCTGTGCAGCCGGTCTATCTTCTCCTCTATCCTGGAGATAATTGGCCTAACTGGGTGTGGTAAGCCAATTATCTCCAGATACAGAAAATATCTCCATTCACAACAGCAGAAAAAATACAAAAAAATACATAATTCCCATTACACTGAACAGAACCACCACCACCTATCCCCAGATAGCTTGGATCTGAGCGCTTAATATATCCGAACAGCGCTCAGATCCCACGAACAGAATAAAATCGCCATGGGGTTAAAGTTTAGCACGGGCTGATAAGAAGTTGAGCAGGGACACAGTTTTAAAGGGGCATTGCCACAAAAGGAAGGTCTTAACATGCCCATATACTGTTTTTAAAGGGCCATACACTCCAGGGCCATAATCATGGGGAAGGAGGCTGGCAATCAGGCTTTTCCATAAGCCACGGGAACAGGGTAGTTTGTTATATGAAAAAACAATGACAAAAGGCCTTTTGTCACAGGGGGTATATATCAAAACAGCCTGCTAAAGCTGCAGTTATCTTGTCTGCAGCCTTTGCAAGCCCTCCCCTTCTAACTCCGCACAGACTTTCCAATCACAAACTTTCCCATGCAGTTCAATGAGAAGCCTTTGCAAGGCAGGTTTTCTGAGCAATTGCTGCTTCCTGAGTTTAGCTCCACCGATTGACAGCCATGAGAGTGTAACAAGTTTAATTTATAAAAGTGCACTCTGCACTTTTTGTAAAATTTTAAAAGAGGATGCACTCTTCACACATTAAGCTTTTGAGCAGGCGAAAGTAATTTATGGGTCTCGAGTGTCCCTTTAGCAAGTTATGTATTTAGCTAATCTGTGATTAAAATCCTTTAAACCTCCAAAGATGTCCTTTCATACATTACCAGTAATATATCTGCAACAATCGCCCAGTTCATGGAAAGCAGTGTTTCCCCAATGAAGATTAAAACCTGCAGAGAGGCAGAAGAGTGAGACAATTAGAAAGTAACATGCAACCCCACTGTGCCAACAACCAAAGAAGGATGGATTCCTAAATGGATGTATTCTTTTATTAAGCAATCTATAAATGGGGGAGTGGTTACTAATTATTGAGCAGCATCCAGTGTGTCAAGATGCTAGGAAAGATGGATCCTTGATTTTCTCACAAATAATTTTGAGAAGGCTTGACTCATCTACCTTAACACTGAATAGTCATTTGTTCACCTCTAACTGGCCCTTAAAATTCTATTTCTGCTACAAAGAGGAGGTGAGTGGTGCATATTTAGTAAAGGGAGGGAGAGTACTTACGTAAGTTGAAATAAGGCTTTTCTGTGCTATCACTAAGGAGACGTAAAGGAAGGGCTGTGCGCACAGGAGGCTAAAGCCGCAGACCAAAGCGTCCGAACGTGGATTTTTTTTCCGGCAACGCTTGCTGATCTCCACACCAGCTATAACCCCCACAATACCAGTCACACAAGTGATCACACCGAAAATCAAACTAGAAAAAAATAAAATAAAAGACATAATGAGTTAAAAAATTAAGAGTATAATAAACCAGTGGAAAAAGAAAGAAAGACAAATATAATGGGGGGAAAAAAGTGAAACAAAATACAAAACTGCCCAGCTGCCCTGTTGACCCCTTAGACAGTTGGGCCTGCATAACTTCAGGTCTGATGCACAGCCACACCGGCGCGTTCTCCAGATGACTAGCAGAAGGGGAGTACACAGCACAGTGCTCCCCTTCTGCCAGTCACTGTACGTAGCATGGCCGAGTGGACTGCGGTCTGACCGGCGATTCCCTCGGCAAGTGAGGTAAGCAGGCACAGGAGGGGAGGGGAATGGGGGATGAAACGCATGGATGTGCTGGGGAGAGAAATGTGACACATGGAGTGGCTGGGAGGGATGAGACACATGAAGGGGCTGGGGAGAATGAGACAAATGCAGGAGTTGTGAGGGAGACACATGGAGAGAAGGAGACACTTGAAGGGAATGAGACATGTAGGAGCTGGGAGGGAAAGAATGATACACATGAAGGAGCTGGGAGGGTGGATAAGACAAACAGAGGGGCCGGGGAGAGGGATGAGACACATGGGGGAGCTAGGGAAGAATGAGGCACATGGAGGGGCTAGGAGAGAAGAATTAGACACATGGAGGGGCTAGGAGAGAAGAATGAGACACATGGAGGAGCTGGGGGGTATTAAACACAAGGAGGGGCTTGGGGGGGATGCAATTTCTGCACCAGGGCCTGATGGTTTCTAATTCACTTCTGACAATGATATTCTAGTCTTCATACTAATCACATGTCCAAAATTACAGAGAAGGCAGTGTACCCTGACATAGCAGCTGTTGTGCTAAACCTGACTGAATAGGGTTATTCAACATACTGTGAACTGAATTCAGCAGGGGAGTTCCAATTTTTGGTCAATAAGACAAGTTGATATATTTTCCCCATAACTCAGCTATTTTGGCCAGATGAAGTCACAAAACCATAATAATGACCATGCACATGTCCTGTATTTTTCATATTGTATCTGTGTTTTCCTGGCACTGCAGGACCCTGTAGTGCCCCTCTCCCTCCCGACACCCATCCCAAGTTGCTGAAGGGGTTAAAACCCCTTCAGTGACTTACTGGAGTCCAGCGCCAATGTCCCTCGGCGCTGGTCAGGCTCCACCCACACTCCTCCCCGCCGCGGGGGAGACCTAATGCACATGTGGGGCAATGACCGACCGCGCACGTGCATTAGACCTCCCCATAGGAAAGCATTATTCAATAGTGTGAGGATGTCCAGCGTTGCCTAAAACTATTTTCGTGTTCTAAGAACACGGAAGTCCCTCTAGTGGCTGTCTGATAGACAGCCACTAGAGGAGGACTTAACCTTGCAAGGTAAATATTGCAGTTTATGAAAACTGCAATAATTACACTTGCAGGGTTAAGGGTGGGAGTTGGCACCCAGACTACTCCAATGGGCAGAAATGGTCTGGGTGCCTGGAGTATGCCTTTAAGAAAAAGCATAGAGAACTTATAATGTGCTTTTAAAAAAAGGGGGGGGGGGGGAGGGAATAGAGGTACTTCAAAGGCTTGTAGGATGTTTGCAGCCAGTTGGCTTCACTAGAAGTTATTTTCACTAAAACTGGCCAATACACACATTTGACATACAGAATGGAAAAGACAATGGCAGTCAACGTTGGTGATTGTAAGCCTTACCTGTCATCAGTGCTACAAATAGGGAGTTGACACGGATTATCTTTGTATAACACCGTCCGTGCACGCATCAGTAATGTTGGAGCCCAAAGCGATAGGGCTCCTGCAATAAACGCCACTGCTGTAGACCCAAACGTTGAAAGAACAAAACTTGGACTACAAGAGGGGATGATAAAAGGAGAAGTTAGACACCAGGCAGAGGCCAGATGCTTGTCAGTTAGAATAGAAATATAACTCACTTTTTCAACAAGGATTTTATATCGGACATCCAGGAGGAGTTGGTGAGGGGTTTCGTTCTTATCTTCCCTTCAGCGGCCCCTCTGGGAGGCTCTTGGACCATGAAGAGCAGTAATAACACTGCTACAAGACCCAGTCCTGGAGTAACCTACAGCACAAGATCAGACAGTGTCAATGACCATACTACATACCTCAAATATCTGGGCACAAAGTATAAGGCCAGAGAGACCCACACAGACGTGCATACAAGATGAATAAGTACGTAAGAGCATAGTGCAGTTGACACAATTACAGTCTATCTCAGTAGTTCCCAAACCAGTCCTCCTGCCCACTACAGGTCCTGAATTTAGGAATTACCCAGTTGTGTCTAAGGAGTTAAAAATTTTTTAAAAAGAAACAAACACCTTAGACACAACTGTGTAATCCCTAAATCCTGGACCAGTGAGGAAAGTGGGGGTCATGAGGACTTGTTTGTGAACCAATGGCTGTCTGCTCTACAATGCCAGCAATATTCTGAAAGATCTCTATTCTGCTGTTAAATACTTTAAACAATTTGACAGAATATCAAACAGAAACCCTGTAAGGGCTAACAGGAATGTGCAATCTCGTGTGACTCAAGCACTGCAAATGTCAGCCATATTTAAATGGTGTATGAAAATGTAAAGATACCTCAAGCAATATGCCATCCAGCACCCACTAAGACACATAATATCTGAAGCTTTTTTCTTTCACTTACTCTTAATGCCCAATGCCAGTCTCCACCTGCTACACTCGACACCTTTGACCCAGCAATGTAACCAAGTCCACTGTAAAAGAGAGAAAAGAATCAGCTTTCTAATGTCAAGCACTCATTACCATGATCCATGTTCTTACACAAAACCAGGATTAGGGATTGGCCTTTGTCTTTATAAAAAAACATGGAAAGAACATTGCCAATAAACCAGAAATTCTAGAAGACTAAAATGGGAATTGCTAACTTCAGGCAAAAATGGAACAGAATTTAAAGAAAATCTCGAAATTCATTTTTTTCCAGTTTCCCTATTTTGATCACACATTTAGAGTTCCCTGGTCAATAAAACCTATGTTTCCGGAATTATAAATTTTATGGCCACAAAAACAACATTTACAACCTCAATAGCCTTACAATCTATTACCCTACCCTAATCTATTCTTGATTGTTAAAAGCTATATGACATTAGAAACGAAGATGGTCCAGAAATGGAAACTCACCAGCCAACAGGTGTAGCCAAATAGAAAAAAGACAGCATTCTGCTGCGTTCATCATGAAGGAATAGGTCCGCAATCAGCGTTGGGGCAATGGTGGAGTAGCTTGCTTCCCCAACTCCCACAAGGCCCCGTGTGATCAGAAGGAGCCAGAAGTACTGTAAAAAATAAAAATGGGTAGAGGGCAACAGTTATCTAGAAATATCCTGAAGAAACAATAGCAGCAATGCCACAGTAAATCTGATACTCTGAGAACTCGGCAAACTGCATGATGACTGCACCTCAGGAGATTTGATGGATGACCATCAAAGCTCTACAAGCATTCTGCAAAATGGATAGGCCTGAGAGGAAAACAATCATTGGTTTTAATGGAATGCCTTGTGATGTTACCTCCTTCGTGATGAATGAACTGGACAGGGTGATGAGTGACCAGAAGGCGATGCCTCCACCCATTATGTACTTTCTGTTGTACCGATCCCCCAGGTACCCAAAGACGGGCGCAAACACCATGTAACTAAAAATAAACACTAGGGAGAGAATGAGAAGAGCTTTGAGATAATGCAATCAGGAAGATGCATTTAATAAACAAACAATACAAAAATACAGTAAAATTTATACTTCAGAGAAGGGCTACTAAACTGTTCATGGCTTGCAGGATAAAACTTACCAGGAAAGGTTAAAGGAACTTAACATGTATAACTTGGCGGAAAGACAAGGCAGGGGGGATAGGATAGAAACATTAAAATAAATAAAGAGAATCAACACAGTAAAGGAGGAGACTATATTTAAAAGAAGAAAAACTAACAAAACAAGAGAACATAGACTTAAATTAGAGGGACAAGGGTTTACACATAATATCAGGAAGTATTACTTTACACAGAGGGTAGTGGATGCATGGAATAGTCTTCCAGCTGAAATGGTAGAGGTTAACACAGTAAAGGAGTTTAAGCATGCGTGGGATAGGCATAAGGCTATTCTAACTATAAGATAAGGCCAGGGACTAATGAAAGTATTTAGAAATTTGACAGACTAGATAGGCCAAATGGTTCTTATCTGCCATCACATTCTATGTTTCTATGTAAAAGGAGGAAGAATGATGGAGAATAAAAAATCCACAAGTTATCAATGTAATTTACATATGAACGCTATAGAAGAGTCTTATATTCTAAACAATGCCCCTAGTAACAGGTAGAGATAAGCAGTGGCGTACCTACCACGGTCGCACGCCACTGCGACCAAGCCCATCACTCCAGGGGGTCCAGCTGCAGTGGCAACCATGCGTCCGTGGTCTGCCAGCACATCATTTGGGCCGGTGAACAGCCGCACCGGCCCGGGGCCCGCGGTTCCCGAGGCTGGCAGGAGGGAAGATCTGCACTGTACTTCTCCCCTCCTGCCTGTGTGTACTGTGAGAGTACTTCCTGTCAGACATGGAACTGTGGCAAGACAAGTACAGGAAAGGAGGGGCAAGACAGAGAGGAAAAGGACACATGGAGAGAAGAGGGGAGAGAGAGTAAAGGGACACATAGAGGGCAGGGGCGAATGAGGGAGGAAAAAAGACACATGGAGAGAAGGGGGGAGAGATGGAGGATAGGGAAACATAGAGGGGAAGGAGGAAAGGGAAGAAGGGGGCACATGGAGGGGGGGGGGTAGAAGAAAGAAAATGAATGCGTGGAGGGGGGGGGGTATAGAGGAAAGAAAGGGACACATGGAGGGGGGAGAGATGGAGGAAAGGGACACATGGAGGAGAGGGGGGAGAGATGGAGGAATGTAACACATGAAGGGGCTGGTGGGAGAATATGAGACACGTAGGGGGGCTTGGGGGAAAATAAAACACAAGATACATGAGATACATAGGGGGGGGGGCGACGGGATGAGACACATGAAGGGGCTGGGGACAAGGGAATGAGACACATGGGGGGGCAGGGTAATTTTCGCACCGCGGCCCAATGGTTTGTAGTTATGCCTCTGCTCAGGAGATACAATATTTACTGACATAGAACACACAGAAAAAGACCAGTGAATTTATTTAGGGGTGTACCTGTTTGAACCAGTCCGGAGTCACTGTCCTTTATCCCGAAATCATTAGCAATAACAGGGAGAACACCTATGTAAACAATGTATAAAATCGCAAGATAGAGTTTAATATCCTTTATACGTTATTATGGCTATAAAAATGTACAATGGCAAAGTTATATATGATTTTTTAATTAATCCCCTTCATAACCATGTTTTGGTACTTGTCTGTTAAACCTTAGCTATGGTGCTTTTTTTGCGTACATAGTGTGTGTGCTTGGGGGTCCTGTTCCTTAAAAAGGACAATTTTAGCCACTTAAAAGGGAATCCTAATCACTACAGGTTGATGTGGTGGTTTGGGTGAGAGGCTAACCAGCCCCCAGCACGATTGACCTTCCACGACTGTTGAGATTCATAATACTATACACAAGAAAGTATAACTACTACACAATTTGGGGGAAGGGGGGCAATGATCACACTACTGGTGTAGGGAATTAACCTGAAAATGGCAAATTTAAGGGCAGAATATCTAGTATGAAAACAATTAGAGGATTTTTGATCTTTGACTCTTTTGACCTAAAACTTTCAGTTTTCCCATTAATTTTCTAAATTCATTGTTTATTGAATAACCATGCAAAGGAATGTGGGAACATATAGGCTATGTCCTGTATCTTGGTAATCATAGATTATGAAAAAAAACTGACCAATTACCTGCAATTGTGTAACGATCCATATAATTAATGAGATTAATATAAACGAGGATCATGACTATGATGATAGAGCGCCTATGAGAGATCCCAGTTAGAAGTTCCAAATCTTTATTTATGTCTTCATTTTTCTCATCGGACACAGGGTTTTCTGGATCTCTGTCTGCCATTTCAATTGGCTCCTGAAGTCACAATCCCCAAGAAAACTAAACAGAGAAAGAGGTAGAATTTAGCAAAGTACTGGTCTCTTTCGTGCAAAGACATATCCATATCAGTTGATAGAATTTGAATGTTTTCTTGCAAGCATTGTTTTCTACAAAATATTTGAAACAAATTTGCTCTGCATGTATCAGTCTGAGTGACTACCACTAGAGGCGTTACAAGGCAGCAATTTAAACCTCTAGTGCAGGGCTGCCCAACAGGTAGATCCCCAGATGTTGTATAACTACAACTCTCATGATGCTTTGTCATTCTAAAGGCATGCAAAGCATCATGGGAGTTGTAGTTCTACAAAATCTGGGGATCTACCTGTTGGGCAGCCCTGTTCTAGTGGCTGTCATACTGACCATTGCACTGACCGAGTAAAACTTGGTCAAATGATGTGACAGTTCATAGGAAAATATTGGATTTAATGTTTTTCTATAAGAAGCATTGGATGCGTGTGCAGGCCTCACAGCCCCCCTTCCCCTTTTGCCTCAGCCCTCCTGTCACCAAGGTGCTGCCCCCAGTGGCCAAAATGCAGTATTTCGACTCTTAGGCTAAAACAGTGATTGGACATGAGTAAAGCAGCTCCATGACACCAAAAGATGCTTTACTTTTTTCTTTCCTACCTTGTCTACTCTGGTTATCTCCTCGTTTGCAGTTTGGGTGAGATTTCCACAAGAAAGTTATATATATGTACCTTCCTGCTGCTGACCCCTGCAATACTGATTTCTGGCTATGCCAGAGTCTAGGCAGGACTGGCCGTGACATCACAGAGGCTGAACAAACACTGATGATGTCATCAAGGCTCAGCAGCTAGCAAGACATGGCTGGCTCATACAGTGAGAAAAAAAGAGTTAACCCCTTCATGACTGGAGTCGATGGCAAAGGAATGGGATGAGGCGGGGAGGGGGTGGGGAGAAGGAAGGCAATTTAACCTGAAAGAATGTGTGATTGGTGTGATTTTCAACTTGTAAATGGAAAACTTGGCCTGCACAAAAGGGAAGTACTATTTCAGCTCAAAAGCTGAAATAATGTGGTTTAGAAGACAAATCCTGTTCTTGTATAGAACCTTGGACAGCACATTGAAGTGTATCAGATCGCCAGCAGTTAATGCTCTGCCTGGTACACGGATATAAGTGCTCTTTGACACCAGTCTCCAGTGATTGCCAGCTGTATGAGCAAGAGAAGGACAACCCTGTGCTGGATTAAGGGATTTATAAACTTGGAGCTGAACATTTTGATAATTACATGAGTATATTAAAGGAATAGTCCAAGTACCATAACCACTAAATGACACTATAGTTGTTATGGTGCCAGATGTGTACGGACTCTCGTCATTGTCAGTTATCAAAGTGTTAGAATGGTTTGAAGTATTAGCTGGGGGTCTTCAGACGCCACTCCAGAGAGCTGGAAACTCGTTGCTTAGAAGCTTATGTTAGCTCTCCTAGCTCATTGGCTGAGGGCATCAGCTAATCATTCTCAGCCAATGAGCTAAGCCATGCGGTGCACAGCTCTCTTGCTGAGGTAGTGTAGGACAGAGCAAACCCCTGGTAAGATGTCAAACTATATAACATGACTACTTACAATGGGGGGTGCCAGGACTCTCATAGGACCATAACGACTACAGCATACTTGAGGCACATGGAGAGAGTGGGGGGTCTGTTAACACATGGAAGGTATGGGAGGGTGGGGGGTTTGAAACACATGGAGGGATTGGGTGAGACACGTGGAGATGCTGGGGGAAGAATGAGACACATGGAGGAGCTGTGGGGGTGAGACACATAGAGGGGCTGGGGAAAAATGAGAAACATGGAGGGGATGGGGGGTGAGACACGTATAGGGGATCGGGGTGAGACATGTGGAGGGGAGAATGAGACACATAGAGGAACAGGGAAGACATGTGGAGGAGCTGGGAGGTGAATGGGGTCTTCCCCTTGCACCTTCATATTGGTAGTAATCTGGGACAGTCTCTTGTGCTTGCTGCGCCATCCTCTCCAAAAGAGACAAATAAAGAGAGAGGGGAGAAGAGAGGAGCCCAACCCCCTTGGCTGTTGTTCTTTTAAAGACTCATTCTTGCTTTAATTAACTACAAGTCCCAGAATCCCTTTTCCTTCCCAAAAGTGGTTTATGTTCCCTGTTACACTACAACACTCTGTAAAAAGTGACCAGTTAGGGTTGGTTTCTGGGTAGATTGGACAGGATGGCTTCTTTTAGAGACAGGATAGCTTTGGAAAACACAAACTTCCATGGTTACACTTAGATGTTCATTACTCCGATCTTCTGATAACATCCATGGAAAACTGGTTAGCAGAAGAACTGCTCGAGGGATATATTTTGATACAGACCTTTGAGGCTTGTACTGCTCTGTTATACGTTATACGGTAATCTTAAAAAAAAAAAAGAGAGAGAAAGAAGATTTCATCTTGTCTAAATAAAAAGATATTCACAAGAAGGCCCTTCCCTGGACAAAAAGGAAGGAACTGTGGTTTCAGCGTAAGAAGCTGAAATAATTTGGTTTAGATGACAAATCGTGTTCTTGTATAGAACCTTGGACAGCACATTGAAGTCTCTGTGTGTCAGGTAGCCAGCAGTTAATGCTCTGCCTGGTACACAGATATGAGCCCTCTTTGACACCAGTCTCCAGTGATGGCCAGCTGTATCAGCCAGTGATGTCCAACCCTATGCTGGATTAAGGGCCCAATGGACCTGGAGCTGAACGTTTTGAATGTGTGTGTGTATGTAAGTTAGCAAGTGAAAGGATCAGAATCTGATGTGTTGGTGGGCTTTGAGTACCAGATAAACCTAAAGTTTTTCCTGGTTGCTTTAAGGGGTGGGGCACAAATTATGTACCTGCTCCCGGGACCACATGACCTTATTATTCCTCTGTGAAATGTGTATATTGTGTCCAATCACAGATTTCCCAAAGCAGCTCAATGAGACGTCTTTGCAAGGCAGGTGCTCTGGACAATTGCTGCCTCTTGAGGTCATCTCCACTGAGCTAACTAAACCAGGAAGTAACAGCCAGGGGGTGTAACAATGTTAATTTACAAAAGTACCAATTTTTACTGAAATCTGAACTTTTTGTTAAATGAAGAAATAAGGCATATTCTTCATACTTAAAGCCAGAGGTGGCTCTAGACTTTATGAGGCAACTAACACCCAAAGTATAAAATAATAGGATTATATTTTATGTGCGTGTAAGGAGCATTCGCGATATTGAAAGGTGGGCTGGATACAGAGGGTTGGTCTCTGCATTCATTCTAGAAGCTTGCAGTGTCATGGCTTCCTGTGCCCCTGCATTGTGAGCTCTCCGGCTGTAGTTGTAGCATAATTTGCAAACAAAACTAATTTGCAATAAATAAATTTAATTTGCAATTATGCCAATCATTTATACACAATTGTGGGGTGTGGTTGCATAGCCCAGCAGTCGTGTATACATAAGTACTGGGGTGAGGGGGTTCTCGAAAACAAAAATTTAGTTTGAGCAAAAAAGCTTTTAAAAAATAATTTACCAAATTAAGTGTGTATCATGTATGTCTTCAGCTGGTGACTGTGACAGAGTAAAGGGTACCAGTGGCAGGGAGAGTGTGACAGGACGAAGGAGGAAAATGGGACATGATGGGGGTTTGTGAGAGAGAATAAGGGGGGGCGAGTATGACATGTTTTGACGAGGGAGTGTGACAGTTTAAGTGTGGCATAGTGTGACAGGATTAAGAAGGGTTAATTTGACAGGGTGAGTGTGGCAGAGCGAGGGCAGGTGAGTTTGGAGGGGGTGAGATTAACAGGATTAGGAGTGGTTAATGTGAGTGTGAATGCGTGAAAGGGCTGAAAGTGTGGGGGGGAGTGACAGTGTAGTGACAATGTGAGGGAATGTGACAGTGTGAGGGGAGGCTGACAGTGTGTGAGAGTATGGTGACAATACATTGTAGGGGGTGACAGTGTGTATAAGGGAGGGTGACTGTGTGAGGGGGATGATACTGTGTGTGTGAGGTGGTGATCGTGTGTGGGACAAAGGGGCGACAGTGTGTGGGAGGGGGGTGATACTGTGAGGAAGGGGATGATGGTGTGTGAGGGAGGGGATATACAGTGAGGGAGCGAGGTCATGGTGTGTAGGAGGGGGAATAATGTGAGGGAAGAGGGTGATAGCGTGAGGGAGGGGGTAATACTGTGAGGGATGGGGTGATACTGTGAGGGAGGGGGGTAATATGAGGGATGGAGGAGGGCAATACTGTGAGAGAGAGGGCAATACTGTGAGGCAGAGGGCAATACTGCTAGAGGGGGGAATACTGGGAGGGAGGACGGTAATACTGTAAGTTGGGAAATACTGGGAGGGAGGAGAGTGACAGCGTGAGAGAGGGGGGAATGCTGGGAGGGGGGAATACTTGGAGGGGGATACTGGTAGGGAGGGGGATACTGGGAGGTAGGGGGTGATAGTGTAATGGAGAGGGTAATATTGAAAGGGAGGGGGTAATACTGGGAGGGTGGATACTGGGAGGGAGGGGGTTGATAGTGTGAGGGGCAATACTGGTAGGGACTGGGGGATACTGGAAAAGACTGGGCAATACTGAGAGGGAGAGGGTGATAGTGTGAGGGAGAGGTATACTGGGAGGGAGGTATACTGGTAGACAGGTGGGTGATAGTGTGAGTGAGGGGTATACTGGGAGGGGGTGATGGTGTGAGGGAGGGGAGATACTGGGAGGGAGGGGGTTAATGGTGTAAGGGAGGTGGGATACTGGGAGAGAGGGGGTGATTGAGTGAAGGATTGGGTATACTGGGAGGGGTTGATAGTGAAGGGGGATACTGGGAGAGACGGGTATACTGGGAGGGGGTGGTAGTGAAGGGGGTTACTGGGAGGGGTGATAGTGAAGGGGATACTGTGAGGGAAATAGGAGGCACTGGGAGGTAGGGAGTTACTGGGAGGGGTGAAAGTGAAGGATGTGGAGGTGGGTATAGTGAGGATGGGAGGTGATAGTGGTACTGGGAGGAGGGTGTACAGTGAAGGGGATATTGGGAGGAACACTGGGAGGTGATAGTGAAGGAGGACTGGGAGGGAGATAGGGTACTGGGGAGGGGGTGATAAGGGAGGGTTACTGGGAGGGAGATATAGGGGTTGGGAGGAGGGGGTTACTGGGAGGGGGGTGATAGTGAGGGGGGAGTGGGAGGGGTGATAGTGAAGGGGTTACTGGGAGGAGGTATACTGGGAGGGGGCTGGTAGTGAAGGGGGACACTCGGAGGAAGGGGTTATACTGGGAGGGGGTTGATAGTGAAGGGGGATACTGGGAGGGGGTGATAGTGAAGGCGGTTACTGGGAGGGCTATACTGGGAGGGAGTGATAGTGAAGGGGGATACTGGGATGGTGTGATAGTGAAGGGGGTTACTGGGAGGGTGTGGGTATGCTGGGAGGGGGGTGATAGTGAGGGGGTTACTGGGAGCAGTGGTGTATCTTGGTTTTGTGCTGCTCTAGGCGAGACTAAACTCGGGCACCGCCCAATCAATAAGAATCAACAGACATAGCGTCAGTGAAAATCAACAGATGTAGTGTCAGTGAAAATCAACAGACATAGCGTCAGTGAAAATCAACAGGTGTAGCGTGAATAAAAATCAACAGACAGCGTGAATAAAAATCAACAGACATAGCGCCAGTGAAAATCAACCAACAGATACAGTGTCAGTGAAAATCAACAGACATAGCGTCAGTGAAAATCAACAGACATAGTGTTTTAGAGCAAAGAAAACTGATTATTTGTCTATCTACTCCTTTCTAAATTCATTGTGCGCATGTCTTCTGGAAGTAAATCACACCGGACACATTGCAGGTTTATGAAGAACTCCAGAGTGGCCTTTATTCCAGGGGGTGCAATTCCCTTTTAAAGCAGAAATACGTCATGTACAGAGTCACAGTTAACATACAGTATACATTCATCAATTGGTTAACAGTCTAAGGGGTCTTGTCTAAACCCCCCTACAGGATGTAGTGTCGTCATTACAGACTTCTCCCACCCACATTCCAGCTCCATCTTGGTTACACGATGGGAGGGGGGAAGTGAGTAGTAGTTACTTTAACAGTGATTCTCTATTTTGTTAGCTGTTACTTTGCACAAAGGAAGTGGGGGAGGAGTTTAATAAAGGAAGATGTTCTTTTAACAGAGGAAACATGAGGCTTGCTCGATGGGAAGGGGGGAGGCTACCAGGATGGGAGGAATTTGCAGAGGAAATAGTGACTGAACACATTGTAGGTGGGTAAGGGAATATTTACTCTAGCAGCCAGTTTTAACATAGTGAACACAGAATAAATAGACATTAGTAAATAGCCATTTTATTTTAATTCTTCTGTCCATAACAATAGCGTCAGTGAAAATCAACCAACAGACATAGCGTCAGTGAAAATCAACAGACATAGTGTCAGTGAAAATCAACATAGCACGAATAAATATCAACAGACGTGCCGTCAATAAAAATCGAAAGATGTAGCTTCAGTAAAAATCAACAGACATAGTGTCAGTGAAAATCAACAGACATAGCGTCAATAAAAATCAACAGACATAGCGTCAGTGAAAATCAACAGACATAGCGTCAATAAAAATCAACAGACATAGCGTCAGTGAAAATCAAACAGACATAGCGTCAATAAAAATCAACAGACATAGCGTCAGTGAAAATCAAACAACAGACATAGCGTCAGTGAAAATCAACATAGCGCGAATAAATATCAACAGATGCACCGTCAATAAAAATCGAAAGATGTAGCATCAGTGAAAATCAACAGACATAGCATGTCTGGATATCCTGACTAAATTTGTGTAAGACATGGCGGCAATCAGGGGAGAACCTATTGGAACTTTTGAGGACAGTCAGTTTACCCTTAAAAAAAAAAGCAATAATAAAAAAATTAAAATAAAATAAATTATATAATATTAATTACATTTTATTATAATTATATAATAATAAAATTAATAATAATAAAAAATAATAAATAAAACATTTGCATTACTACAAAAGACTTATAGAATACAGGTTTTAGGAATAAGGGGTTTGTTCTTTAAACAGTGGCAAAAAAATATATGGGGGAATTTATTGTTGTTAAAATAAAAAAATAAAAAAACATTCAAATGTTAAATTTAAATTACTCACCCACTCTGCAGAGTTCAAAACAGAAACACACAGACTGCAGCTTTTCCCGGTTTCTCCTGGTCACAGCTCAGCGGAGCTTCAGTGTGCAGACAGCACGTCTCCACTCCTCTACACACACTGCACGTGCTGCCCGGCTAAAATGGAATGGGGCTCTGAAGGGTGCATGCTGCTTCTCGTGGGAGGTCAGCTTGCTCCATAGCAAGACATTAATCAGGAAGCAGGGACAGAACAGAGCAGAGAGAGAGTGGCAAGTGTGAGTGGGCCGGATTGATCGGGCTGGTTTTTTTTCTTACAGCTTTTCTTCTTCATCTAAAGCTGAAATATGTATCTCTCACTAGGCAAACAAGTAATTTTGCGGCCCCATTGGCAAGTGCCACCTAAGGCAAATGCCTTGTTGGCCTCGTGATAGATACACCCCTGACTGGGAGGGGGATGATAGTAAGGGGTTTACTGGGAGGGAGAGGGGTGATAGTGAAGGGGGATATTGGGGGGGGGGTGATAATGAAGGGGGTTACTGGGAGGGAGAGGGGTGATAGTGAGGGGGTATACTGAGAGGGGATGATAGTGAAGGGGGTTACTGGGAGGAAGGGGGTATACTGGGAGGGAGGTGATAGTTAAGGGGGTTACTGGGAGGGAAGGGGCTATACTGGGAGGGGGTGATAGTTAAGGGGGTTACTGGGAGGGAAGGGGCTATACTGGGAGGGTGGTGATTGTGAAGGGGGTTACTGGAAAGGAGGGGCTATACTGGGAGGGTGGTGATTGTGAACGAGGTATACTGGGAGGGAGGTGATAGTGAAGGGGGTTACTGGGAGGGAGAGGGTGTTATGGATGTAAATTAGTGATTGTAAAATGTCTATTTACTGTGTACACCTGTATTCAATATGTAAGCAAAATGGCTGCTAGAACATCCCCTCCCACCAACTAACTACCTTGTGTAACAAGATGGCGCCTACATCCAGAGTAAAATCCCGGGATGATGGAGACATCATGCCTCGTAGGATGTGTACTAGATCAGACACTTAACACCTAACCAATTGAAGATGTATTCTTTCTGTTATCTACATTTTTGCATATGATGTATTTCTGCCTTTATATGGGCTTGCTGCCCCCCCTGGGTCTAATCCTGCGAACAACTTAAGCTGTGGGCTCAAGATAAATTAGCTGATCAGGCTACCTGTATTAATGATGTTATCCAGGATAAGACAGAATCAGTGGAGAAGTACCACTCTAGGTTGTCCCAAATCTTCTCTGACCTGGGTTTTAGTTTGTATAACAAGGCCCATGCCCAAATGCTCTCCGCAGCCTTCATGGCAGGCCTTAAAGAATCCATTCGTGTAATGAGTGCGGTGTGAGTCTTTGTTTTACTGCTTTCCTCTCCTCTTCTGATGAGAGAAGTATTTGGTCACACACTCCTCACCTCGCTCCCGTCCGCTGCCACCATCTGGGGTGTGTGGACCCGATGACTAGTCTACTTTTCGGGAAGACGCACGCTGATCAAAAATCGGCTCTATCTTTTGACGACTTGTGTAGAGAGGATGGGACAGGAGCATGCAAAGCCCATTAAGGTCTGGTTAGCCTGTGACATAGTCAGAGAGAGGGAGGGTGAAGGAGCAGTGGGAAAGGTGAAGAAGTTAGCTAAGTTATGTGGCATTACTATGTCCTCTAGCGGGTGATTACAGCCAGAGGGGTGGCGTAAGCTGTTAAAGGAGAAAAGGGGGTTATTGCAGGACAATAACCTAGTACAGACAGCTGAGGCTTGGTTTAGGTTTGCTAGAGCCATTCACCAGGAGGAGTGGATAGAG